AATTACCTCTAATTAATCAACAATTACCATCACCAAATTAATGAAACAATCAAACAAGTAGTGGTTAACCAACTTTGTAAACAAAAACTACTTAAAGAATTAATCAAAATAGCCGGCCATCCAAATGCTTTAACTTAAAATAACCAGCGAATGTATAATATATGTATAATTCATATAGAATATGTGTATAACTATGAATAATCAATGTATAATTTATGTATACTAGCTACCAGTGTTATCAAAAGTAAAAAGCGGTAAAAAGCTTTATGGTCCATTGGGGCTTTAACCGCAAATAAATGTGGGGCTTTGATGAAGAAAGGCGCAAAAAGAGAGTATAAACGTACAGTCCAAGAATAATAATCATATTCATGAATAAAAAATATATGGTTACAAAATTTGGAAAAAGTATGTCATAGAGCCTTGATGATGCATTGACACGCCCGCTAGGCGAGCTAAAACACTCAACACATTTTACGCCTCACCTTAAGGCTTAAGCGTGCTTTAAGGTGCCTTTGACAATACGGTCGGCTAGAAAAAACAAACAATGAATCTGCTGGCTATTTGTGTAAAGATCCCATGCTCTCAAAAATAGTACTAGTAACTATGTTGGTTTTTGTTTATTTATCTTGTTATAGAGGACAACAATTACCCAATATTTAGGCATGGATGTGGTTGTAGGAGGAAAGATGTTGAAGTAGGAACTTGATTTTGCTGATGCCATTCAACTTGCTGCCCTACTGTGTTATCCTTCTCCTTAATCTGTTAAGAAGCAAAGGAATTAGAAAAAATGAACATAACCTATTAATACAATGTCTATGATATTTAACAAATTTTCTAAGATATATGAAGTGCTAAGTTATGGTTTACTGTTGAAAGCTTTGCTAATTTCTGAAAAACTTAGAATAAATAACAAGAGACAAACTCACCTTCTTGGATAGCATGTTATTCTCCTCCTGGATTGCCTTTTCCTATGAAAGTATAAAATATTACACTCAAGGCATTTAACCAAGATTACAGTACTTAATAATTAGTAGTAGTAATTAAACTTGGCATGCATATAATTACCTTTTTCTGTAGCATAGAGATTGACTCATGCATGAGTTGGTTCTGCAACACACAAACATCTGAAGTCACAAAAAATATCAAATTTTGAATGAAAGAAAAGCATGGGCGAATGTGTGATTCAGTCGTTAATGAAGTGAGTGAAAACTATGGAAGATCGGGGTTCTAATTGTAGCTGAGACAAAAAATGTTAGGTTATCTCTTCTCATCTAACCAAACCTTGGTAGACAGAGTTACAGATACATGTGCTCAAGGGTGAATGTACTCTTTACAATACAAGTTCGGCAGAGCTAAGTTGTTTGGCCGAATCTTGTATTTGTTTTAAAAAATTCATTTAATATGTACAAATTATAAATTTTGAAACCAATAACTCCGAAGAGTTAGAATTCAGAAGTCCATAACTTCAAATCCTCGGTCTGTTTCTACCTAGGTTACCCAGTAGAATAGTAAAGATGCGTGCTAGCTTAAAAGAATGTACTTTGGCTTTTTTCAAAAAGGCAGATGGTAACGGAAGGAATGAGCTTTCACTTTTGTTATGGTCAGCTTTACTTGACCTACAGTAGTTAAGGACTCAATTCCTGACGGTCCAAGACAAAGAAAACAGTAAAAGGAAAAAAAACAATCAAGTCTAACTCCTAAATGCGCCTCTACTAGAAAAGAACACTGATCGAATAAGTAAAAAAAAAAGGAAAAAAGGAAGGATTATGGCATGCCTTTCTTGATCGAATAAGCTTAAGAGAAGTATCAAGTTGTTGTTCCAAGTTTTGCAGGTCCTTTAGGCTCAATGAGTCAAGATCTTCTCCCATATAATGCCTGAAAATAATTTTAAAAAATTGAATATGAAAACTGAGTCTGTTCAAATTGAAGGTGGAAACAAGAATAGTATATTTGTGCTGCAATAGAATTAAGCAATCATATTTTACTTGTGGTTCCTTTGTAGGAGATCAATCTTAGCCTTGAGTTTAGCATATTCCAGGCTCCAGTTTTCCTGCACCTGTATTATACAAATACCAAAACATCAACTTTAAGATGAAAATGGAACATTAATACTAGGGAAAAGGGTCAAACTTTACCCTTCTACTTTCAAAAATAGTCTGCGAACAAAAATACCAACTGCCCCTATGTCCGTTAACCGATCCAGCATGGCCAACAACATCCCACGTGGCATAACATTTGGGTGAGATGATGCCATGTGGCATGCTACGTGGGATGTTGGCTGCCATGGTGGAAGGATTTTATAGATGAAGGGGCAATTTTGCCAACTTTGTGTGAGGGTAGGAGTATTTTTTGTTGGGAAAGCACTGAGGTTAAATATAAACTATTTTTGAAAGTAGAGAGGTAAACTTGATCCTTTTCCCTTAATATTATATACCTTGTATTTAGTTTAAATATTTTTTTTGGTCATACCGAAGATTCAGAATTACTTGCAAGCAAACGTCTCTCTGTGTATGAGTATCTCTCATAACGTTCAAGAATTTGTTCCATACTGTTTCAAGGAAAAATGATCATTAGTTTTTCTCTGTGTTAAGTAAAAGTCCTTCTAATAACAGTTATGAGTGGGTGATTGTGATGATTATGTGTAAAAAAAAATGTATAATGCACCACGAACTAATATTAACAGATTAACATGCAATAAGAGTAAAAAAGATTATGAACGAACGAAAATAAACATATATAGTGAATTTATCAAATACAACCTAAGATACCATAGACTTTTTAGAAGGTATTTTTAAAAATAAGCATTGGGCCTAACTCACACCCCAAAAGCTAGCTCAAAATGAGGCTCCGGCCTTATAAGGAGACCGGGGTTCTCATCTCGATCCGATGTGATTCATTCCATTCACTACCCCTACCCCACTCCACCCCATGCCCACATCCGGACATTTTTTTATTTGGGGTTCCACTATCCTATCTGGAGAAACAATTATGGATCAGGGGCATTTCCACCCCCTCCCCTGCTTTAATTGGTCCGAGGGCATTCCGCCAACCCCCNGCATTGGGCCTAACTCACACCCCAAAAGCTAGCTCAAAATGAGGCTCCGGCCTTATAAGGAGACCGGGGTTCTCATCTCGATCCGATGTGATTCATTCCATTCATTACCCCTACCCCACTCCACCCCATGCCCACATCCGGACATTTTTTTATTTGGGGTTCCACTATCTTATCTGGAGCAACAATTATGGATCAGGGGCATTTCGACCCCCTCCCCTGCTTTAATTGGTCTGAGGGCATTCCGCCAACCCCCCCC